TGTTTTTGGTAGTCAGGGACTATACGATTCACACCACTTTATTGGACGGGAGCCAGGGGCTCATGCGAGATATGTGGATTTATTAATGAATAAATAATAGATATTTATTGTATAATTAAGTGGGATTTACATATCTGATTAAAACACTTATTTGAGCTGCTTATATATATAAGAATACAAGGTGAGGTTAATTTGCTGAACGATGATTGTGTTTAGCATTTATTGCTGAGCTTGTGAGTTCACCCTATTATCACATTTCAGGTACACGTTGAGTAGGAACGTGATGGGATCACATGATGGTGATGGATTTTGGCTAGCTTTATGTATTTTTTTGGTTTAGTTAATTTTCGCATTGTAATAAGAATGGCGATATTTTTCTTTTGAGTTAGTTCATTTTGGTCCAGTTATCGTGGATTATTTTTGACAAGGTTGTTTGATACTATGGTTGTATCAATTTAATAATTAGAGGGTGGTTTGAATCTACCTCTTTATTTGATTATTTATTTATTTTTTATTTTTTTTATTTTTTTGTAATGTTGTGGTTCTGTAATGAAAGTCATGCCAGACTTTAATACAAGACAGGAGTTTATGTATTTAAGATTTTTTTTTTGGGGGATGACAATAATTCCTTTAAATAGGTAGTGATATAATTATTTAGAACACATATGATAAAGTAACAAACAAATAAATTAAAAGAAGATTTTTATGGAATGGTTATAAGACTAACTATTTTATATGATTAAGAGTTTCTGAGCTTTAAAAAGGTAATATTAATACCATTGATTGTATGATAAAATTGTTAACCAAATTAAAATACAAAGAAATATATATATATATATACACTACTATAATATATGTGCGTAAAATGAACTAAAGAAGAAGAGTGGGGATCTGAGTAATACGTGGCTTCATTGGGATGATAGAGGTGACTGGAAGAGATAGAATTATCAATCAAAATATGAAAGAAAATGAGTATTAAATTTTTTTTTTTTTTTTTCCTGAATGAGTAAAAAATAAATATATATATCTATATATATATATATTTATTGTTGTGGTGATATGAAAGAGAAAATATTATATATATATATATTAAGATGTATGTGATTTTAAAATGTAAAAATATTATAGAAGAGATGACTTAATAGAAAAAAATTAAAAAAGAAGTTTCATGTGACCAATGCATTCATATATTATTAACGCCAGAATGATGACAATAAGTTAAGATGCTTGTTATTTTACTATTTTAGAACTCCTTAAAATAATCCTTTAATGCATAAAAATAAACTCTCTCTCATCAAGTCTTAAATTTATAATTTTTTATGTTTTAAATTTTTTTATAATGTAATGTATCTGGTTATACAAAAGCAAGGACGGATTTAGGCGTGGGCTCAAGCCCACTCTATTTTTTTAATTTATTTTTATTAGAGGTCTTTTTTGTCCAAAAAAAGAAAAGAAAAAGTAGTAATAGCTCACCTAAGAATAGATTATACCACCCCATTATGCATTTTTTGATCCACATGCAAATTAATTAAATATAAATGTAATACTACCTCTATTTCAAAATAAATATCACTTTCCTAAAAGAAATATTCTTTTTAAAACAAGAAATATATTAAGGGTTAGGGTTTTATGTCTCTAAAGGTGAGATGAGTGTGTAAGTTTCTTGGGAAAAAAGAAAAAAAAAAAAATTCATGTACAAGTAATAAATTTGACACGATTTTTGTAATAAATATAAATATAAATAGTACAAGTCTTGGTGACCAAGCCAAAGATTAATTATTTAACCTTTTAAGAAAATATAGGATTGGACTATATGTTGTCACTGGGTTCTCTGTCTCATTGACACGTCAATCTCTCCGTCCCATTCGCCAACCGTTACGTATTTTACGTGCACCATCCGTACGGTCCGTGAACTTTGAACGTTACTGTTTAGCTTTAAATCTCAAAATTACCACAATAGCCTTCATTCTTGGAAGAAAAGTTTGTTTCATAATCCTGTTAAAAGAGCAAAATGTAAAAAACGGTAACACCATTCGATTAAGAAATGTGGAAACAAAAGTGAGGCATAAGCTATTTTTAAAACCACTAATGGTTTAGTTTAGTGGCGTATGTACACGGTTCAAAACGAGAAATTATTAGAAAATTTTGTAAAGGAAGTCTTTTAATTTGTAAGAACAAATTTATATGGTGGGTCTATTTTTGTAATTTTAATAAGATTTTTTATAAAATTTTTAATATTTAAAGTATAAAAAAATAATAATAATAATCTAAGAGGACGAATTGTAATTTTAGTAAGAGCATTTTCAAAAATTTAAAAAAAATTGAGATATAAAATGAAAATATAAAAAATTTAGTGGGGCAAAGTTCTATGTTGAGTCCGTAGCTGCATTTATATATATTTATACTACTATAATAAATGCGTATAAAAAAAAACTAAAGAACAAGAGTGGGGACAGAGTAATATGTGGCCAGTTTCATTGGGATGATAAAAGTGACCAGAAGAGATAGAATTATGGGTCAAAAATATGAAAGAAAATGAGTGTTAGAAAACTTATTGTTGTGGTGATACGAAAGAGAAAATATTTTGGTTGTACGGTCATACTCTTTGAATATGTATATATGTTTTGATAAGAAGGGAGAGATTAGGGTGTTTGTGATTTAAAAATGTTAAAATGTTAAAATGTTATAGGAGAGATGACTTAATAGAAAATAATTGAAGAAGAGATTTCATTGTAACCAAGGCATTCATGTACTGCCAGAATGATCGATGTGGATGAGTTAAGATACATGCTATTTTAGATCTCCTTAAAATAATTTTTTAATGCATAAAAATTCAAACTATCTCTCATCAAGTCTTAAATTAAATTTATAATTATTCATATTTTAAAATTTTATAATGTAATATATCTCGTAACACAAAAGACAATATTTTACTCATAAATGAACACATAATTTTCTGTGCTTATAAAACTAAATTTTTATTGTTGCTCTAAATAATGAATTTTAGAATATGTTTATAGAAATTAATTAAATTCACACACACACATATATATAATAACATATAATTGTACGGGTTTTAACTCTCCGTAAAGGTAAGATGAGTGTGTAATTTTTTTGGAAAAAAAGAAAAAAGAAAAAAATAAATTTCATGCCATAAATTTCACAAGATTTTTGTAATAAATATAAATATAAAAAGTACAAGTCTTGGTGACCAAGATAAAGATTAATTAATTAACCTTTTAGGAAAAAATAGGATTGGACGATATGTTGTCACTGGGTGCTCTATCTCATTGACACGCCAATCTTTCCGTCTCATTCGCCAACCGTTACATTTTTTACGTGCACCATCCGTACGGTCCGTGAACCGTGAACGTCAGTGTTTACCTTCAAATCTCAAAATTACCACAATAGCCTTCATGCTTGGAAGAAAAGTTTTTGTTTCATACATCATCCTCCTCCTGTTAAAAAGAGCAAAATGTAAAAAAGGTAACACCAATCTATTTTAAGAAATGCGGAAAGAAAAGTGAAAAGCTTATCCATTTAACCAAAAAAAAATTGGAAAGAAAAGTGAGGCTTAAGCTATTTTTAAAACCACTAATGGTCTAGTTTAGTGGCATATGTATACCGTTAAAACGAGAAATTATTCCATATTTTTTGACCACTTGATATGTGATGAATCAATTCAATTTAGATGGTTGTTGAGATTTTTTTGTAATATTTTAATACACTTTTGTGAGATTATTTTCTTAATCGGAAAGTCTGAATCGAATTAGTCCACCAAGTGTCAATGAATTATGTTCAAAATAGAGACAGACTTAGAAAATTATGTGAGAGGAGGCAGACTTTAACAATAAGAAAATAAAAAAATAATTAAACCACTGAGTGGAAGGCAATAGTGGGGTTTTTCTGTAATTTTAGTGAGGGCGGTATTGAAATTTAATCGGTATGTAATCGAAACAAAGGGAAAAAGGCCTTGAATGGGTCCGTGCATAGTTCAAAATAAAAGGACAAAAGTAAAATGAGTGTGTGAATTATTTATTAAGATAAATAATAATATAAAGATTATTAGTTTGGAATAGTAATACTTAATAGGACAAGTTAACACAACTCGGATATGACACAAAATAGGACAAGTGAGTTTGGTTTAATTGTATTTGGGTTGTAACCATGTCGACCTGAATTGATATGATAATTAAAAGTGTTATGTTCGTGTTTGATCTATAAATTCGTTTATAATATGATTAATCGATTTTAACTAAATATGTTAGATAAACTTATCGGGTCCGTCTTATAAATAACATATTTAGTTAAAAATGTTTGCGAAGTGCGTCGTGATTGTGTTAGAAATGACTTAAACTTGTCTTGGACTCTTGTCATATTATTTTGTGTTGTGTCGAGTTTTAACCCATTAATTAAACAGGTTACGTGAGTCATGTTGTATTGTTTATATAATAATAATCATGTCATATTCATATAAACCTATTTAACATGACACTTATATCTTGACTTGATACATTAACATACACAAATTGTTACCCCTACTGACGTTACAGAATTAATCACACAAAAAAACTTTACAAGCTTTTCTCTTATTTTTTTTTTTTCTAATCTAAATATTTTAAAATCTTCAGTTTGAAATTTGAAAAGATGTGCTCATATTATTCTTTAAGCATTGCGGAGTTAAATATATTCTTTAAGAAAAATAGTTCGTGATGCGCACGCTGATGTCATAACCATTGTTCTGCGTCTTTTGTGTAACCAAAATTCAAAAGGTAATGCATGATATCTCAAAAAAGAAACAAAATAAGAAAATTAAGGTGTGAAAATCTAAAGGGCACTTCAGTCCTTTAATTTGAAAATTGAATATGTCCTTACTGTACTTTCTAGAAAGTGGATCCAATGTTGTAACGGCGTTAAACTTTCCGTAATAATCCGTCAAAGAGCATTTTGCGGTCCAAGCCTATATATATATAAACCTCCTATCCAACAAGACCAAGGGAAGCTTTCCTAATCTCATTTCTCACTCGTCACTTTCTCTCTCTAAACTGTCAAGTTCAAGAGAGAAGAAAAATCAGACTTTTGAAACTTGTGACAAACGTCGCAGGAGCTAATGAGAGAGACCAAGCATGGATTTTGGGTAGATTGATTGTCGTTTGATCGACATTTCTGCTAAATCTGTAGTCGATTCGAGCTCAGTTTCAATTTTATTTGGTGAGATCCCAATTTTTCTGTCTTATTTACCCTGAAATATCCATGTTTCTTTTGTCATTTCTTACATAAACCCTAGTTGCTGATTATTGATATTTGGGGCTTTAATTTGTGTTGATAACTTTAACCTTCTTGCAATTCATGGCTCAAGAACTCCCCAATCTTTGTGACAGTTCCTTCCTCTTCTTAGGGTTCCATTTCTTTAATTTAGGGATGTTCACATTTATATGACAACTAAATTTTGTAGGGTTTGAATTAGCAGGGGTGTTCTTAGATTTAGTTTTGATTGATTTTGAATCCCTGGTCTTTGGGAGATCTCTAAATTCGTTAGGAAATGGATTTCTCTCAAGTATGGAAGTGCTACAGTTGATGGGTTCTTGAGTTTGGATTCATAAGCCTATAATTTCACAAGGGTTCTTGAGTTATAAAGCTACAATGTCGATCGCCAGTGTGGCTTTGAGTCCTGTTTATGAGAGCTCTATAAATTTCTTGGGTCATTTCTCCGGCCAACATGATCCCTGGTCGAGGGAGTCTATCTTGATTTACCTAACTGTTGGTGGCTCTGTCATTCCGATGCGTGTCCTGGAGTCGGATTCTATAGCTTCTGTCAAGCTGAGGATCCAGACCTGTAAAGGGTTTTTTGTGAAAAAACAAAAACTGGTCTTTGATGGTAAAGAATTGGCTCGGAACAATTCTCATGTCCGGGACTATGGGGTCGCTGATGGAAATGTTTTGCATCTGGTCCTGCGGTTCTCTGATCTCCAACCTATTACCGTTAGTACGGTATGTGGGAGGGAATTTGAGTTCCATGTTGCGAGGAAGCGAAATGTAGGGTATGTGAAGCAGCAGATTGTTAAGCAAGGGAAAGGTTTTCTTGATCTCAAGGATCAAGAATTGATCTGTAATGGTGAGGAGCTTGAGGATCAGAGGCTCATAAGTGATATTTGTGAAAGTAGTGACACTGTGATACACTTGCTGATCCGTAAATCTGCAAAAGTAAGGGCGAAACCTGTGGAAAAGGAATTTGAAGTTTCAATTGTGGCATTAGATTTGAATGAAAGTGGGGCTGATGCATTAGATGGAGGTTTATGCCAATGGAGAACACAATCTGAGAAGCTTCATGTTGTGGCTGAGAAGTCATTGAAAAGAGATTTCCTTTTGGAACCATTAATTGTTAACCCCAAGAGTGACGTGCCGCTAGTAATCAAACAGCTTATTAATGCTACTTTTGAAGGGTTGCAAAGAGGTAACCAACCGGTAAGGTCTGCAGAGGGATCAGGGGGTGCTTATTTCATGCAAGATTCATTTGGTCAGAAGTATGTTTCTGTTTTTAAGCCAATTGATGAGGAGCCCATGGCTGTGAATAACCCTCGGGGTCTACCCTTATCTATAGATGGTGAAGGTTTGAAGAAGGGTACACGAGTGGGGGAAGGGGCACTGAGAGAAGTTGCAGCATACATTTTGGATCATCCGAGGAGTGGACCACGCTCATTTTATAATGAGGAGAAGGGCTTTGCTGGGGTTCCCCCGACGGTTATGGTCGAATGCTTGCACAAAGGATTTAATTATCCTGAAGGATATGAGTATGGATTCAAGAATATTAAGATTGGATCACTGCAGATGTTCATGGATAATTGTGGAAGCTGTGAGGATATGGGTCCTTCTGCTTTTCCGGTGGATGATGTACACAAGATCTCTGTGTTGGATATAAGGTTGGCAAATGCAGATAGGCATGCTGGGAACATTTTGGTTAGCAAAGATGGTGAAGAAGGCCGGATGCTGCTTATTCCAATTGATCACGGTTATTGCTTGCCTGAGACTGTAAGTGTTATTCTTCTTCTTCTCTCTTTTGTTTCGTAAGTTAGCTGGACATGAATTTCCAATACATTCATATTTGATCGTCCTGCTTTGTAGTAGGCCTGTTTTCGGAACCAAGATTGGCTAACTTAAACGGCTCTTCTGGAAAGCCAATATTGTTACATTTTATGCATTATCATGATAATTAATTGCATTTGTAAGTTGTGAAACTATAAAAGCTTGTAGCTGTATGAGTTGCACATTATGCATCAAAATATATTGAAAAACCACTAGGAGGGATCTCATATGCATCTTAATTTATATGTCATAGTAGCGTCTGAAAATTTTCTAATTCTATGCACCAAATAAATGAGGAGCAGATAGGCTAATAGACAGAAAACATTATCACATTTTCTTATTGAAATTTTTGTATTCAACATTTCATTTGTAAGGAGTCCATAAACTCTTCTAATGTATTGACGGACTGATTAGTTACTATGGTTTAGATATCATTTTATTTTCGAAAAAAAAAAAAAAAAAAAAAAGAAGAAGAAGAAGAAGGAGAATAAAGAAACAGAATTCTTTTCCTATGTTTTATCGAGAGGAATGGAATCGATTGGTGGATCATTTATTTTCTAAACTTTGCCTTGCTGTTCCATTGTGCTGTACATGACATCTGATGCTCTTCTAGCTTAATGTTTTAGGCCTTTTAAGCACCCATATATGTCATTTCCTCATGTTCTGATCAAGATTGACAATATGAGTTGGCTCTACTGGCCTTACTGCAGTTCGAAGATTGCACATTTGAGTGGCTCTACTGGCCTCAAGCAAAGCAGCCATACTCCTCTGACACCATAGATTACATAAGATCTCTAGATGCAGAACAAGATATTGAACTTCTGAAGTTCTATGGGTGGGAAGTATCGTTCGAGTGTGCCCGCACCCTTCGAATTTCCACCATGCTTCTCAAAAAGGGTGCAGAGAGAGGACTCACTCCTTATGCCATTGGAAGGATCATGTGCAGGGAAACACTAAAGAAGGAATCTACAATCGAACAGATTGTTCAAGAAGCACAAGAAGCCGTGCTTCCAGCAACAAGTGAAGCAACTTTCCTTGAATCGGTGTCATTGATCATGGATCGTCATCTTGATGAGCTCTCCCGCAAGTAAATACATAGATATATATAGAATATGCAAGTATGATGGTGTTCCATCTTTCTTTTATTTTTTTGGTAATAGTTGCATCTTTCTTTCCATGGAGTGCAGGTTCTATGTAATGTTGATTTCTGCAGGAACTTGTGTTTCATCACATGTTCATTTTGTCCATATATAAAGGCAGTATGGTTTATAACATAATGAAAAGCTTACTTTTGCAAGTTTGACAGCTTATATATAGTGATTTTGAGAAAATTTGTTGGTTAATATAGCTAAACCTCGACCTTCGATCATATAAATATTTAAATATTTAATTCACTATTAACATCTAAATTTTGAACTTGCAAATAAAACCATGAAGATTTTTAAAAGTGAGTGTGCAAAATGAGTGAATGATTTACTATTTCTTCTGATTAATGAAATTTAACTCAATTATGATTTCAGTCCTCATATTGAAAATTAATTATTTTCTACTTTGACCACTTCGATCCCCTCCTCTAGTTATCCTGAGCTTCTTTAAATTCATAAAAACTGACTTAAAGCTTGAGCCACAATGTGTCTACTTCAGAGCAACAATTTTTTTTTTTTTTTTTTTTTTTTTTGTTAAAAATGAAATCATTCCTACACTTCCAAATGTACAGGCAAGAAAGCAACAATACATAACCCTGCCCTCTTCCTTCTCCCCCTTGAATGTAACTACTGTACTCGCTTACCGGAAAAAGAAAATCTCGAATCTTGAATGAATTTTTTATTTTTTTTTACCAGAGTTCAAGCGTGCACACACCTACAATATTGTTCCTAGTAAGCCTCCAACACTGGACCACCCATTTGGGAAGAGGAATTCATACCATCTGGACTAATGCGTATTGGTCTGGAGTGTTGAATGATACCCCCTTCTAGTAAGTTTCTCAGCAACAGCAACAGGAAGTCTGTCTATCAAGGGAAAGACTCCATACAAAATGTTTGATCTTTGGCTTGAGATTGACCAACCATAATTTTTTTACAATAAACTGAGTTCATCACAGACTTGCTACATTCGCCATTACAGGATCTCATACTCGTCTCCCTCTGTTTCAACTCCATGGCAAGGTAATAAGCAGTGCTAACTGTAAACCCTCCATCACTGGTGGGTCCCAAACCAAATTGTCTTTATTTATCTATTTTTTTAACCCGGCAAACAAATAGCCCACCATTACAAGATCAAAATAACACACACAGGATAAAACCATGAACCACATGAAAGCTGGGACGTGACATCTATCATGATAAACCATAAGCTTAAACAGTTTCTGGGGCATTGGACGGACCATCACCAACCAACAGAGCAGGTTTAGTGGCAAACGATTGAGATGATTCCGACGTAAAGGATTCATTTGCCTGTGCCCCTGATCTTCCAGACGAAGCTGAATTCGTGCACACTAAACCAGCTGACGGACACAAATCAACCACGTTACTTACTGCACCATCCCCATAACTTTCATTGTTTTATCCCCCACAATTTTTCCTGCACCAGACCCACCTGAAATAGATTGACGCCGTTTATGACCCCGACGAATAGGAGAAGATCTTTGGCTTTTAGAGGTTGCAGACGAATCAGACCCATTTTCATTCGACTTCGAAGCTTTCGCCTTCCCCTTCTTCTATTCCTTTGACATTTTATCCCACCTGTCCAATGGCAATATCCTACCTTTAATTGGAGAAGTAACCTGAGCACAAGCTACAACCAATTTGTCTTCACTTCCCCCAAAACTAGAGGAATACAGAGGATCCTCCTATAACAGGACTATAGAGAACATTGCAAATCTCATTGGGCCTATTGCAAATCCAAAGTTGGTTTTGTAGCAACAAAATTGGGTGGGCCTTTAATTAGACTAGGTAGGTAGTAGACAAATGTGTGATCCAGCTCAATGGTCACAATCGGCCCAAATGGCCAGAAGACCGAGTCTAACGCATCTCGTGTTTGTATGGCACCTAAATGATATGCAAGAGTGGTACGGGGATGTGGTTCTCCCATTGATCGGAAATCGTGCCAATCGAAGATTCCATTGCTACCTATCACAGAAAACATATTGTTCTTTCAACTTCAACTACTCTAGTTTGAAGAAAAAAGATGAATCAATCACATTTTGAAATGGTTAAAGTATCGAGGGAGTGTTCGTGATCTACGAGCTATTCTTCTATAAGAGTAAATGAAGTAAACTTGAAGGCAAGAGTATTTGGGCGAGAAAGTCGCAAAGCCGAAGACGTTTGGCAATTGGCTCTTGGTAGAGCAGAGAGAGCGTAAGTTTGAGTCAAAGTCCATTACTTCAATTATAGTGGATCGTTATGCTCGAAATCGGCGCTGATGAAAATATAAGGGTTTTATATTCTATATTTAAATTTGTTGTTCAAATTGAACTGGCTTAAATTTTAAATTGCAGGACTGTGAAAGAAGTATGAGATATTCATCAAGTTAACCACGAGGATATAGATGATGTGAAGAAGTCAAAATTTGAGATGGAATAAGTTTTAAAATATTAAGATGGAAGATGATGATATTTTTTTTACATTCGAAACTTAGATAAGAAGATGAGTGATAAGCCGGTCAATAAAAAAAAAAAGTTAGAATTCTTTGCCTATGAGGTTTAAAATTAAGGTTGGAATTAAACAATTCAAACAGCTCAGAATATTAAAACAATGATGAGTTAGTTGGTCATCTAATAAATTATAAGATGAAGTATTATGAATCATTCTTTTAGCACCGCAAAAATATGCTTCCGGGAAACATTTGGCTACATGACATTGATAGCCAACCCATGACATTGATGGCCAACCCAAGAGTGGTTTGCCTACTCACATGTGAAGTTGAAAATACATAAATCAAGTGGAATAATATTAAATGATATTTATGAAGGAAAAAAGAAAAGAAAAGAAATAATATTAAATGTTAGGACCGGCTATATGTACTCCATTCCTTTTATGAATTAGCTTTTGCGAATTAATTATTGATGGCTTATTAGCATGTTGGTTCTCTAGGCTGCAACAAAATTGGGTGCCCTTTAATTAGACTAGGTAGGTAGTAGACAGAAGTGTGGTCTTTAATGGTCATAGTCGGCCCAAATTTTTGTATACATATATATATATTTTTTTAAATTTCTAATATTTTCATATAGTTTTTGTTTTTTTTAAAATTTTTTTTATTATATAAATATATGTTTATTAGTTGCAGTTCTCATTCCACTAAAAACTGGATTTTTTAAATTTTCACAAAATTTCTAGTTCTAATTGGGAGAATGGCATTAGTTTTGTGCTTTATATGCATTTTTTAAGTAGTTATTTTTTATTTCTAAAACACAAAAGGTATCCCTACTACTTGATTAATGTCGACGGAATTATATTTTTATAAATTTGTTTTTATTTTTGTAATTTCATTTATATTCACCGCATACATGATACATTCTTTTCTCAGAATTATAAACACCGTAAAATTACAAATTAAATTTGTTTATAAGTGGTCTCCATATAGATCTTAAAGATAATATGCTCTATGAAACCAAAATTTGTAGTTTTACATATTTTACTAATTTAACCTGACTCACATCTTATAAAATATATGTGTTGGATGACTACAATCTATTACTTCTCTTCATGTCTAAAATATTTAGTAATTATTTTACTCATATCATTTTTATATTATTATTTATAATTTTTAATAATATAATATTGTATTATTAATAAAATAGTGTTATATTTCAATTTTATAAACATTTAAACTGATTGAATATTTTCATTTTCCTCAATAATTTCCTTCCTGCCTTTGAGTAAGCAAGTAGTCTTACATTTTACTTTGAAGGACAAACATTTAACTCTCACGTGAACTTCTTGTTATTCATTTTAATATTCAATTTTTTTTTTCCAAAGTAAGTATTACAAAAGTTGCTAAGAAAATACATGGATAATGTCAAAATCATGAAGATGGGAGTTGTTTTTGCTTATTTAGTTGTACATTTCTCTCTTTTTACATATACCTATTATAATATTGTGGGCAAGTTACATAACTAATTCATCGGAAGATGATACTTCATATCCCCATATTTTTACCTTTTTGTTATTATTTGATATTTGATATATGGGAGAAAACTAATGAAAATGAGTCAAAAGCAAAAAATCTGTAATATATTTTCTTATAGGTTTTTTTTTTTTTTTTTTTGTTATCCGTTTGAACAAAAATCCGGTTAATGTATTTTGTTTCACTATCTTCACGATCAATCAACAAACTGCATCCGGCGGACACAAGAATTTAAGCTTTAAAATTTAAAATATTTGAGAATTAATTGTATTATAATTCTTGAAAATAATTTTTTGTTCATTACCATTTTTAAAAAATTGAAAGTTTATATCCTCAAGTTGTGAAAAAGCCTGGATCATTATTATCCTCCGTTTCCTATTGGATTCTATCTTTCTCCATTTGACACTTATGCTATCAATAAAAGAGAGGTCAATATTATCGGATAATTATGATGGTGTTATGTCATGATCAACTTCACTTGAGTTGGTCATTAGAGACCAAAGATATAGTCCAGCCCATTTTAGCCTTGCGGTGAAGTTGGAGATACATAAATCTCTTAGATTATATTTTCTAATGATCAATGTTAGGCCTCTATATGTAACACTAGATAACGTCGTAACACTATTTGTTTGCCATAATATAATAATCGCAGTTCATAATAATATCTTTGATGCTTAATTTTTTAAATGGTTAGATCTCATGTTCTAGAGTACTAAATAACTAATCACTCGTATGTTATGTCACACATGTGAGTGATCGTGACCGTCTGTTACAGTATAACAAGTATATTGCAAAGAACCCGAACTTATTTTTCAAATCCAAAAATATTTTTCATATAATTTTTCATATAAATGTATTTTTATTAGTTGCAGTTCCCATTCCACTAAAAAAACTGGATTTTGGGAATTTTCACAAAAATTCTCTTTCTAATTGGTAGATGGCATTAGTTATGTGTTTTATATACATTTTTTAATTAGTTATTTTTTATTTCTAAAATACAAAAGCTATCTCTACTATTAGACTAATGTCAACTGAATTATATTTTTATACATTTGCTTTGATTTTTGTAATTTCATTTACATTCACTACCGCATTCTGATTTTCTCCCAATAATAAACACTGTATAATCACAAATCAAATTTGTTTACAAGGTCTCCAAATAGATTTGAATGA